CTTGTATCTTAGAAGATAAGTCAGAAAAATCTTTAATTATATAATAGAGTTTTATTGTAATGTTTATTGGTTGGAAGTTTTTTAGTGTTAATTTTCGGTTAAATGTACATTGCCATTATTATTAACGGATTTTTGGTTTATGACCATTCACTACTGCCAAAAAAATCTGAATAGTTAGAAGTACAAGTTGATAAATCATATTGCAAGCCATAATGCCAAGAAAATGACATTTTTTAAAAAACAAACCAATATCGATGGTTTGATCACTGCTGTGTACATCACTTGTCATTGAGAAGTCAATGATACACCGTGTAAAGAGGTAGAAGACTGAAAGAGAAAGAACACATTTACTAGTTTTATTTTGTAAAATTAATTATTTAAATAATTTAATGATTATTTTTTTCATTAAAAGTAAAGAGATTTTGAGTTTGAGTTGTATAACATACAGGTGAAGTAAGATAATAATGGAAAATGATTGCTTCTCTGTGCAATTAAAATAAAAAAAAATATTTTGTAAAAAAAATAAAAATGTAGTTTTAATTAAAAAATATAGAAAGTTTGAAGTATTATAAATTTATATTACAAAAATTTCTTGGGAAATGAATTGTGAGCTTCAGAAGCCTCAACGTACAGTAACTGAAGCCCAACCGTTTCAAACTTGTGGTGTGGTTTCTCACAAGTCCCCCGCGAGGCCACGCAAGCGCATCACCACAAAACATCGCCATCCCCTCATACATAGACACATACATACATTGCATCCCATGACCAAAATGTCAATGAGCATGACATGACATGAAACGAAAATGAGCTTTGTGAAATCCGGAGTACCTCATTTGTACTTTTGCACCAGCAGCACCTCAATTCTAATTTTCTTCACAGCCAGCTACGAATTTTTTGGGCTCTCGATCTTCACGGCTTTCTCTTTCGATCTATCGTCTTCTACCTCCCCCCAAAAATTAGGTTTCTTACGTCTTCCCCCTTCTCGACCTGCTCCTCTTCTCTCTCGCACTTTCTTCTTCTTCTTCTTCTCTGCAATTCTTAGATTCACTAGGGTTTACAGATCTATCCAGCTCCTGCTTCCACCTCTGCTAAATCTCTTCCTTCTCCGTTAATCTCTTCGCCATGTTTTGGAAGCTCACAACTCTCTCCACCTCCTCTCCCGTGAGTGAATTTTTTTGCTTATTCGTGATTTGAATGTTATGTTTGTGCTAATTGATTCATTCATTTCTAGCTTGCCTTATGTAATTTGCTTAATTTCTTCGTCATGATTTAATGTTCAAATGGCGTTGAAGAGCTGTTTAATTTGTTATCTCTATCCTAAATTGCCTAGGATGTTCTGTATGAAGAAGGCGGATCGCTATGATTCTGTTTTTGGCTAGTAGTTGTTTTTTGAACTAGTATATGATGTTTATTGGAATTTTCCTTGGGCTAGTCGGGGTTTGGTGTTGGAGTTAGATGGCTTACGTCTAGGGAAGAATTTATTGTTCATGTGATGAATGTGCTAAATTTAGTGAGTAGGAAATGCTGCTATCTTGTGCGAATAGCTCAAAGACGCACTAACTTTCTCTTCCAGCTTCTTTTAACACTGTGTATTTGGTGCCTTTTAAGTTAAACCTTTTTTATTTGAGGGGGTGAGGTTCTGTGCTGCTTATGGACGGGGACTTTGAATTGTTATAAATTGCTGGCAATTAATTGATATGAGAGCTGTTATGATGGGTAGGCAACTATTTTCCATTAATTATGTTCACTGCTAACGTGCATTCTTGGGGAGATAAAGGAAAGATCTTGCGAGAAGCAGAGATTGACCCTTCTTTTGTTTGTTTGTGTCCTCTGGATAGTTGGCTAGATTTATTTTGAACATGAAGTTTCTTTTCTGTTAATAAGTACAAATCTATGAGTCTTCTTAACCATGATAATTCATCTTGCTCAGCTAAGCATTTTGAAAATTTCATATGTGAAATGTTGTAACTGTTCACTGGGATTGGCATCTGTGCTCACGAATAAAAATGATAAAAAATATGGTACTGCTTTAAATTTTGCCATTGTTTATTTATTTAGTTCTTTTTGATTAGTTACTTAAATGTTGTTATTTCTTTGCAGGTGGAGTTAGTTCTAGACAAAGAAAATTTCACTTTGGAAGAGCTACTGGATGAGGAAGAAATAATCCAAGAGTGCAAAGCTTTAAATAGTCGACTCATCAATTTGTAATTACTGTGCTTTGTATCACACTCAGCTTATCTGTATGATAGGGGATTTGTTTTAGTTGATATTTCTACCTTTTATTTTCAGTCTTCGTGATAGAGCTCAAGTGGAGCAGTTATTGCAGTATATTGTTGAAGAACCTCCAGAAGATGCCGATACCAAACGGACCTTCAAGTAAGCTATTTGTGTTAACTATGAAATTACACTTCTTCCTACTTTTTCCCTCACTGAAAATTTATATATATATATATATATATACTTTTTTGGCATTATTAGGTTCCCATTCATTGCCTGTGAGATATTGACGTGTGAAATTGATGTAATCCTTAAAACTTTAGTGGAGGAGGAAGAGGTATAGCTTTATTTTATTTTATTTTTTTTGTCATAGTACTTTGTATATTTTCTCTTGTTTTCTTGTGTTAATATTGTGTGGATTTGTACTTGTGCAGTTAATGAACTTACTTTTCTCCTTCTTGGAACCAAATCGTCCTCATAGTGCCTTGCTGGCTGGTTATTTTAGCAAGGTATTTTTATTAGGCCTTAGGGTTGTCTATGCGATATTTGCTGTCATATTTTTCTCTCTCTTATGGTTTTGTTATTATTAACCCTTTATAGATGTTTGCTATGGCCTTTTAGGTTGTTGTTTGCCTTATGTTACGGAAGACTGTCCCGCTTATGAACTATGTACAAGTAAGGAAATATTTTCCCGCACACCTTACATCATGTTTTTCTTGTAATTTTGAAATTGGCACTGGATGTGCTTTAAGGTGTTCTTAATATAATAGTACACTGCCATTGTGGGATGTTGCTCTCCTTCTCTTGTTAATGGTGGTATTTTTTTGTCCTATGGTTAATACAGGTGCATCAGGATGTATTCAGCCAATTGGTTGATTTAATAGGAATAACATCCATCATGGAGGTATTTGTGATTCTTTTTTTCTTAAAAAAAAAAAAAACACTCATTTCAGAGGTGTCTTGCATCATGTATTTGGGATTCCTTTTTTCTTTAAAAAAAAAAAATCTCATTTTGAGATTTATTCTTTTCACAGGTTTTAGTTCGACTAGTAGGAGCTGATGATCATGTGTATCCCAATTTTATCAATGTGATGCAATGGCTGGCTGATAGCAATTTGTTAGAAATGATTGTGGATAAATTGAGTCCATCTGTAAGTCAGAACTTGCTGTTTTAATATTTTAAAGTTATGTGCATATGAGGGAAATATAATATAAAGGATGAATAGAATATGAAGATTAAGGCTTCTTTAGATGAATTTTAAAGACCTAATAGCAAACGGTTGAAGAAAAGTTCACAAATTATCATTCAGCATATTCTGTAACAAGTGTTTGACGACTCTATTTTGGCTTGACCAGTGTCCTCCAGAAGTTCATGCTAACACATCAGAGACATTATGTGCAATAACGCGAAATGCACCTTCTGCCTTAGCCACTAAACTTTCCAGTCCAAGGTCTGTGGGCTTTACTTTCTTCTTTGATCATCTTCACTCTGTTCCACCTCACCACACTACTGTACTTTATCTGTAATTTGGTCAGTGGTTTTGATAGTTGCACGCATTTACAGTTTTGTAGCAAGGATATTTGGTCATGCATTGGAGGATTCACATTCGAAATCTGGCCTTGTAAACTCACTTTCAGTTTGTATCTCATTGTTGGATCCAAAAAGATCAGCAGTTGTTTCTCCATTGATGCATTCATTCAGGAATCAACATATGTACGAGTCTCCAATCCCTGTAAACTCAGAGACTGTCAGTGCAATGCTGCCAAAACTTGGTGAGTGAATTTCTGGTGCTAAATACTGTTTATTATGGATTTTGTAGTTTTATTTGTTCTTCGGCATGTGGAATCTTTCATTTTGGCCCTGCGTTCATGATTATGCATCTTCTTGTGCAGGTGTCTTGCTTACGCTTCTGAACGTGTCGTCAGATGAGAAGATTTTGCCTACAACATATGGGGAATTGAGACCACCTCTTGGCAAACATCGCCTGAAGGTTGGTTTTACATTTTTACTATAAATTTATAAGCCAGATGACTTGGAAATTATGTTGATTGAGTTCCTTGACGTTCATCCACAACATGCATTCATCTACCCCCCCCCCCTTCCCTGGGATATGTTTGTTTAACAATCGTGTACTTTTTTCTGACTTAATTTACTATTCATTTCAGATTGTGGAGTTCATAGCAGTTCTGTTGAAAACTGGCAATGAAACTGCAGAGAATGAATTGGTCAGCTCAGGAACCATTCGACGGGTCCTTGATCTCTTCTTCGAGTAAGATATTGCGTTATTACTTCTATAGGATTCAATGCAACAAAAAGGACTATTGAAAGTCTGATCTGGTCCAGACTCCAGAGACAAGATCTTGATGCCTTTTTGTTGGTGGTAAATACTTTAGATTCTTTATACTTGTAACTATGGCTAGAATGAATGATCACTATTATTCTAAATGTAGGTACCCATACAATAATGCATTACATCACCATGTAGAGATTATAATACTTTCATGCCTAGAAAGCAAGAATGACATGATGGTCAATCATCTTCTTCAAGAATGTGATTTGATTGGGAAAATTCTCCAAACTGACAAGCAACCAATTCTTTCTGGTGACTCTAATCAGGTATGGAGACACAAAGCCAGTTAACTGGAAGTCATATACCATATGTGATATCTATATCCTTTGCTTTCTGATGTATGGTAACTGATATGGATGAAGATTTGTGCAAGCTTTGACAAACCAATTATTTGTCAAGGAAACTTCTTCTAAAGATATTTTTAAAAAATAATAATAAATTTCAAAATTTCTCTGATTATGCAGCCCACTTTGCCTGCTGCTGGAAAATGTGCACCACGGGCTGGAAACATTGGACACATTACACGAATTGCAAATAAGCTTGTACAGGTGGCAAATAGCAATAACCAAATCCAAACATGTCTTCAGGTGGGTAATTTGTTGGATTTTTTTTACAAATTGTCTCATTTGAGAGTGATTATTTACTGCCTTTTTGGTCATCCAGAATATTTTCTGATGCAAACTTAAGTCATTTATTCTCTACAGGAAAATAGTGAATGGAATGGGTGGCAGTCTAGTGTTCTACAACAGCGAAATGTTGTTGAAAATGTTTATAGATGGGCTTGCGGGTATATCCTTGCCTCTTTATCTCAAGCAAGAGAAAATGGAACAACGGGATTGTTGTTAAATCTGACAGGAAAGAAATGATTCATGTCATGCTAATAAAAAAATTTTTCCTTGTGGCAGTCGCCCAACAGCATTACAAGATAGAACAAGGGACAGTGATGAGGATGATCTCCATGACAGAGATTATGATGTTGCTGCTCTAGCAAATAACTTAAGCCAAGCTTTTAGATACAAAATATATGGGAGTGATGATGCTGAAGAGGTATGTAGTCTGGACCCTCATTAATAATTATCTGCTTATCAATTCTTTCTGCTTGACATATTGTCTTATTGTCCTGATTTCAGGACCATGTAGCCCTCGATCGAGATGATGAGGTGAGGACTCTGATCTTTGAAAATAATTGATAAGATCAGCTTTGTATCTCTGCCATGTCTTCCTCCCATAGGGGCATGACTAATTTTAACTCTCCTTTTGGTGTTGTAGATTATTAGCCCTGCTAATAAGTTAGTTGATGCCAACATTGTTTTGTGTCATTTATTACAAAATAAACTAGAAAAAGGAACTTTCTGTTGGGGATATAGAATTTAATAATTGATTTGTGAATTGCAGGACGTTTACTTCGATGATGACTCTGCCGAGGTTGTCATATCATCCCTAAGGCTGGGCGATGACCAAGGAAGGTGAGTTTTCTCATTGTTTGGTAGTGCTGATTTTGTTACAGAAACAAAACCATCAAACACTAGAGCCTGTTCAGCGGAGAACTTTTGGTTTAGAAGCCAGATATTTGGAAATAATGAGGACTTGTGATGGGCTTACCTTTCTATAATCTGTAACTTTATTCTGCCACCTTTCTGTAGAGTTAATAGGTGATTAATGCTTTATTGATGATGCAGTCTCTTCACAAATTCCAACTGGTTTGCATTCCAAGATGACAGAATTGGTAATGCACCTGTGAGTACGTCCCCATCAGAGATGATGGATGAGATAAACTTGAACAGCAATGCAAATGGTAGTAACAGTAGTAGTGATGATGAGGTGGTTGTTGGGGAGGATGATGAATTGACTGAAGGTAAGCATTCTGTCAATTGCACATCCACTTCCAATGCGATGGGTGGATTTCTTGCCAGTGATTCTGTGAATGCTGGAGACTTAAATCCGCAAACAGGGAAGGCAAATGCCCCTAATGATTTGGGATTCTTTAAGTTTGACACAACAGATAATGAAGCCTTGTTTGGAGATAGGCCTTTACCAGAATGGGTTGGGTGGGGGGAACCATCAGGTCTGCAAGTAGGTGGATCAAGCAAGAATCCATTTCTTGATAATGATATGTCCGATGTCAATTTACCCAGTCATGCTGAGACAGTGGTCCACGATGTTAACTTCCCTTCAAATGGAGAATCCATACTTCCAAATGGTTCCCCAACCTCCATGGATTCCAGTGATAGTTCAGTGAGCAGTGATTCAGGCCAGAGATCTCCCCCAGTACCTTCTTTGTTTGACGAGGATGTTGAATTTGTTGGTGTGGAATTAGAAGGCACGGAAAAGGCAATGGAACAAGCTCTCAAGGAGGGGATAGTTGGGGAAGCGGGGCCATTGAAGAGGAACATTGCTCCAAAGGTAGGTGAAAAGGAGAATTCTGAAGATGGTGGGGCTGGACTGAAGGAGTTCAATGATGCAAACTATTGGAGGGTTGATCAAGAGGTAGCAGTTTTGGAGTGATGGTGGAAAGCTGGATCTGGCAAATCGCAATTCAGTTTTGGTCGGGAGAAAGGGCACAACACATGCACCTGTCACATGTACAGTATATTTTTGTTTCAGAATGGGATGGAAGGGAACGGTGGGCTACGTTATGGTTATCTGTTCATTAGTTGTTTTTGTTACACTTAAATTTCATCAATGCAGGATTAAGCATTCTTACATTTTAATTTGTATGTGTAATATGGATTTTGAACTCTTATCTTCATTTTGATAGAAAACTGACTTGCTAATAATTTTTCTTCTGTGCAGTTTCTCTTTTTGGGTATAATAATGCTTGCTGGTATTGTCGGTGGGTAGACCTTAAATTTCAAAGGTAGGTTTTGAGACCAAAACCATTTTTTTGGGGGGAGAATAAAGGCAAAAAAAATCAAAATGAAAAATTTAGAATACAATATTATAAAGTAGGATGATAACTACTTCTTTCATTTAATTTGAGTCATTTTTTTAATAAATTAGGATGTTATATTAATTGATATAATTTTATATTTATTTTTAATTAATTATAATTTTAATAAACCTTCTAAATATGTTATAAGAATAAGTTTCTTAAATAATATTTTAAAAAGAAAAAGTGCTAAATTAAATTTGAGAATGGTGCATCAGTCCATGGTCCTAATAAAATGTATCTCAACGTTGTTTCATTAATTAGAATTAAAAAAATTGTCATTAATTTTACAATAATTGTTATATATATAATTTTAATTAGATAATTATTTAAATAAAAATTAATTTTTATTTTTTAATATTAATTAA